GCATAGAGAAAGATATGATGAAGCGGTTGTCTGCTTCAGCACCGTTAGAATTGGAGGAAAGCGAAACGTGTGAGGAACCGAATTACGCAAAATGTAAATTTACGAATCTGGGAGTTGTTTTCTTTTGTAAGTGGTTGGCATTGTCCATCTATATGAAGAAATGTTACATCTTCCAGCCCTGTTTCGGACTCAACAAAGTACTTAAACATGGGCTTAACCGTAAACACATGCCTCGCAGACGTTGGAAGTAATGCAAACAAATCCTGTGCTTCGCTGCCTGGCTCAGCAGGGATGGGCCCTGTGCTAAAAGTTCAAACGTGCAAAATGTTTGGGGTTTTTTGAGCTGGGACACACTGGGTGGGGAACTCTTGGATCCTAATGAGGTTAATCCAAAGTGTTCACCAAACAGCTTGAAGGATTGGGTCTGTGGTTCTGTTTTGTGCCGTGTGTAGCCTAGCTGAGCTTTGTATGAAGTTAACCCATTTTCAATGGGTGCGTGTTTTAACCAACTTCTTTTTGTTTGTTTGTTTTCTTTTTTTAATTATACCTTCCCAGTCTCCCCTGCCCACGGAGCCCGTCCAGCGTCCTGGAGCTACTTCCCCCCTTGTACGTTTTTGTTTATGCCTTTTTTCTGCTTTCGCTGTCGCTCCCCTCTGTCTCTCTGTGTCTCTCTTTTTCTTCTTCTGTACATACATGTCAGTAGCACTGATGCTTTGAAGGACACTCAGGGAAATCAAAACAAACCTCTAGTCTAACATGCCTTTTTAAAAGCTCTTTGCACATAAAACAGTACAGCAGGAAAACAAAGAAACTGATTCTGACTCTGATGACAGAATAACTTTGAATCAATAAACCCATAAGTGAAAGAAGTGCCAGGCAACCAAATACAAATGCAATTTGGAAGAGAGAGATGTTAAGAATGGGTGATGGAATTAAACATGGCTGGAAGTTTGCTAGAACTTGAAAATCTTGAGAAGCAAAGATTCTTTTTTTTTTTTCTTTTTAAGATTAGAAAATGCTGTTTGTGCTTAGCACCTCACAGTGCCCACAGTGAAACTGTCAAGTTATGTGGGAGCGGCTTACTTATCCAGAGAAGCCTGCTTCATGTCGCCATCATCTTTTTTAGATCCTGCTGGTGCTAGTCTGAAGCTCACAGCAATAACCTAGCGTCCGTGAAATTGGAGACTTTTCCCATCGATTTAGCATTTTTTACAGAAAAGGTCTCATTTGGGCATATTGACTCCCAGGATGTTGTTTGGATTTCATAGATCACTCTTAAAACTGGGTATACAAATCCTGTAGATCGCTGTATATAACAAAATATATAATATATGTGTGTGTGTATGTACATTTATAGATACCCTTTCTGCAAGCACATACACACTTCCAGCCTGTTGGCATAGAGACTGTGCACCGATACCCTCGTAACATGGGAAACAGGCGTGTGGTTCCTATTCATGACGCTTCCTCCAGGAGAAGAACGTTATTTGACAGCAAACTTCTCGTTTCTGGTGTGAAGACTCAACTTCCTGAGCATGTGCCAACATTCTCAAGGGCTCCCTGGGCAGAAAGGTAGAGACTTCAGAGAGGGCGGGGAGAGCAGGGTTTGTATTTCAGGTATGATCACGGAGAGTGCGTATGGTGAGGCTTCTTCCCCTGCACGCAGCCAAACCAACAGCAAGAGCCAGGGAATATTTAACCTGAGGTAGAATTTTTAAGAATGAGGGTGAAATTTATTGCTCTGACTGGTTATATCCACGGATAAATCAATGACCTGCCAAAAAAGTTTGGGAGGAGGCAGAATAGCGAATGCTCGTGAGATCCAAGGAGTTTCCTTTGGACCCGCAGGTGCAGAAAGAAGATTTTTCTTATTTTTTTCCTCTCTTATAGTCAAGTTCCTTGAATCCGTGAGCCCTTCAAAGGTGCCATTCCTAAAAAAATCAGTAGCAGTTAACTTCAGATAATAATCTTGGTGAGATGGACGAGTTCAACACTAGAGCAGCTATTTCTGCTCAAAGGTATAAGGCTTATTAGTGGTTCTGCTTGTTTTTCACGTGAAATTAATTCCTTTTGGGAGCCACGTCCCTTTGTGAGTCATGCAGTTGCAACAGACACTAGGAACTTGGCTATGGCTGCACACAGAGAGACCATGTGCCCCATCCCTCACGTGCCTGAGCCCTCCTCTGTGGTCTGCACTGGTGGTTCTTATTTATCATCTTTCTGAGCACCAAAGATCATGGTTGCACGTCTGTTGCTAGTAATTTAGGAAGAGATTGATGTATTTTTGAAGTATGGAAGCTCTGAGGTCCTGGTCAGGCTCTGCTGGTGTTAGAGGGAAGTTACTTTCTGGGCTCACGAAGCCGTTTTTAGACACTGAAGTTCTCTTTGGGCCCTCGGCTTCCCCGGATAAAACGAGCTGAGACGTGAATAGAGAGGCAAGGGCTGAAAGAAGTTTTTGAAACTGGGACAGAGTGCCTCTGAAAATGAGCTGTAACTCTTGAGTCTCCCAGCCATACCAAAGACATTATTGGGTGAGTGGCAGCTGTATTTAAAATCACTGATTCTTCCACTAGCATTTGCCAACCTGAATTGAGATCTATTTTATAGAATTTTTTTAAACTCTTTTTACAGTTAAAACTCTGTTTCTGGTGGTATGTGCACGTAATACGTGCGTTTGCACTGGAATTGAGAAGTGGGCTGCATACACTGTGGTCACACCTGAGCCAGCTTTAAGCCCAGTTGTTCAGGTACCAGTAGCATCCACCTTCATCCTCAGCAGCTCAAGTTTTCTTGGGGTTTGGGTGTTTGCTCAGCTTATTTCATCTCACCTCATCTTTTTTTGCTATTCATCCTATGGGCTTGGCATAATCACTTCACCCGGACTTCTTTGCGCACATTGTGGGTTCAGAATTTCACTTCAGGTCTAGAACGTGCCAGAGACACAACACCTCAGAATGCATAACAACTGAAATCTCAATTTCTCTAGCACTGTTTCTCTAATTGCTGTCTCTACAAATTAAATTGTTAGTCTCCTGCAGTTTGTTCCAGGAGAGGCTTTAATTTAACCTTGTCCTTTCTCTTGCCTTCTGTCTGCCCCTCTGCCCTCTTCCCCCCTGCCCTTTAACGATGTGCAGATTTGGAGATGGATAGTGTAAAGCCAGGTTCTGCATATGTTTCAGAGGCTCTGAACCAGTCCCAGCTGAGCTCAGGTAGAGCCTGTTCCGTACAATTAGTCTCTCCGTGTCCTAACCAAGTCTAATCCTGTACGTGGTAGCAATAACCATTACTAACACCCTAGGTTTGGTTACAGAAGCTAGACGTAGTTGAAATAGTTTACTGTTCTTTTTTTGGTTTGTTTTGATGTCTGGTGACTAGAAAAGCCAATGCCTGATTCTAAGAATCCGCCTTCTCGCAGGCAAATTTTCTGCAAGTGATTTCATTCAGGTCAGTGAGTCCAAATCTGAAGATTTGGGTCTTGCAGTGTGAATGTTACGTGGCTATTAGTCTGCCTATCATAAATTAGCTGCTTTTTTTTTCCCCCTGACTTTTGAATTTCTAAATATAAAGTGTTCTTCTTTTCCCAGGCTTTCAATTTGTGCCTCAGAAAGGTAATATCCAAAGAGTGTGCCAAACCCTATTCGACCATGTTCTGGAGGAAAGAACTTGCTTGAATAAGAGAGAAAAGAAATGTGGTTAAAATACTGTAGTTTTATGGCAACGTAAATGACCCTGGTGTGTCCCCAGTTGCCCAGTGATAGCAGAAAACAGCTGTCATGACAACGTCGCTATAGCTTTTCAAAACTAACATCAAGTAAAGTTTAAAGTGTTCCAGCAGAACTAAGGAACTGAGAGGTGTCTCTGGTACATTTTACGTGCTTAAACAAGTTGATCGTCAGTTACTGAGAGGTGTTTGATAACAGTCGTTTCAAATTTATTTTTTTTTATTTGGTTAAATCGTATCTCGACTTTTGTTTTCCTGGATCTCCTAAATGCTTTGAAAGAAAATGTGAGTGGAAATTTAGCAGAGACTGAGTAGCAAACTGGGTAAGTTCTGTTTTCCAGCAGGCTAGATCGGGGCTTTACAGCGAGGCAGGCGACATGTCCTATTTCTTGCAAAGCGTTCAGACGACGTGTTGTTCTCTTACGTCCCTCTGTTTCGTCTAGTCCCTTTGTATGCAGGTTGAAAGGAATTTGCAGGGTAACCGTACCTTTCAGGGAGATCATCCCGATCCATTCTGTGGGCAAAATGAATAGGTTAATGGATATTTGCTATTGAAGGGACGCTAATAAATAGAGCCGGTCGGAGCTCACTCAGTCCCGCTGCCCACAGCGCTGGCATTATGTTTCAGTTTATTAAGGAGGCTAATGTTTGTGCCATTCAGTGATTTTTAAGCGCTTGGTAAGTGGCAGGCATCTTTTCTAATTGTATTTCGACTGATTGCAAATCTTCTTGTGGTTGTGTAAAGCTCTGCCTCTGCGGAAATCCTTGTCTGTATTTCCATTGTTGCCTTCTAAAGTCATCAAGGCGGATTTATTTTTTAGCTAGGCTTTAAGGCTTTATTTTACTCCTGTAATAAGTGTTGTGTGCTTCCTTTAAAAAAAAAAAAAAAAAAGACTTTTTTAGCAGTATTATTTTGCTGGTAGTTTGCATCTCGGGTACGTTAGGAATGCCAAACTTGGTCTTCCGTAATTATGTTGCGTTGCTTTCAATGCAGTGGATTCTGATAAAGTGCTTATTTAATCTGAATTGTTCCAGTAATTACCTGTTTTTAGGAGAAGGGGATTTATTGCGGTGACTGCCCAGGACTGTGCACAGCTACAAGACATGCCATTGCAGCGCTTAGTCTTTTTAGGTCTTTAAATTCGTGTACAGAAGGTAGCACAAATCAGAACTGCCGCAGCATTTTCCTGTGAGTTTTTTATTCCCTTGGAGTCTTCCTTTCTCTTTGCTCTCCCTCCCTTGTTTCAAGTGACTCTTCCCCCTTCCCATTTTTTGGCAGAAATAGAAAGGGACGAGAACCGTGGGCTGATCTGTGGAAATGCTGCTATATACAGGATTCATCTGGTCTTCCATGAAAGTCGCACCATAAAATCTGTGATTCTGTTGGAAAAGTACGAGTTTGAGAGAACAGCTCCCTAGAGCCTGCGTGCTAGGAACAGATCCCGACAGAAACTCTGAACTGTAGGTTCTGGGTTCATTGGGCAGATAGGCACGAGCATCCCAACAGCAGCAATGTGTGTCCTGCTCGTGCAGTGAACCTCTGGCTATAGGAGCGTGTTTTTAGCTGCGCCTTGCTTTTGAATTCAGCCTTCAGTGGCAAATCTGAAATACTTTTCCTGCCCACCTGAATGAAATCTGTACATCTTGGCTAGCTCATAAGTGAGAAACAAGCAAGAATTACAAGTATTTCAAATGAGTTCCTAAGGGTACGTAGCATTAGGAAGTCAATGTATTTTTTTTCTTCCTTCCTAATCCTTTAATCCTTTAACAGTGCAACTGTTTTCTGACAGTAGTAAGAACCAAGCATGCATTTTGGCAGTATTTTTTAAGCACCCCTGGTTGTGTTTCTTACCCAGAGACTCTGTGGAGTTTTGGGCAGTTTTTGTCGTCGGTGGCAGTATTTGCAATCTGAAGAACTAGATATTTTTGTAACATTTCCTAGGTGCTATGGAAACACGTCTTGATGGATGTTGGGTATTTGTGAGTAAATTGGTTGACGTTTTCCTCCAGAGGCTTGGGTTTGAAAGCATGGAGTTTTCCCTGTAGAAGAGAAGGGATTTGGATATTACTGCAGTGTCTGAAGGGTCCAGGGAGGAGGCGGAGGAAGCTTGGCAGGGCAGGAGTTTGGGGGAAGACCAGGAGAGAAGTCTGGACTGAACCAAAGGGTGTCTGCAGGCTCTAGGAGGAGAAGGGTGGATACGGTTTGGTTCTGCTGTTCCACTTATTTCTCTTCTTTTTTAGCTGAAGTAAAAAGAGAGTTTTTCAGTCTGTTGCAAGGACCTGTTTGTCTAAGACCTCCCGACCCCCCAAAAGGGGGGGAGTCTTTGTATTTTCAGGAACAAATGTCTAAGTTATTGCACCTGAGCGTTGCCTTGTACCCTGCCTAAGCATTCGCACAAGTGCAAACCGTTTAGCAGGGCAGCAGCAGCACAGGTGCAGGGCGTCAGTAAATGAGGCCTCTGGCTCCAGCCTTGGGACAGATTTGCACTCGTGTTTTCCCTGGCGTAGGGAAAAGATCGCACCCAGAGCTGACACAGCTTATCTGCCCCAAAAAACACCCAAAAGACGCAACAAAACCACCCGAAACACGCAGTCGGGGTGTAGGCACAGCTGTCCTGGCAGAAGAGCCCTTTTGTCAGCTCGGGTTATGTCGAGGGGAGCAGCAGATCTCGGCCGGTTGCGAACCATCTTCTATCAACAAATCCTGCATCTCCACTGGGAGGCACTACTGGTGGAATGGCCGCGGTGGGAACCAGCCTGGAGCCTCCTGGAGTCACAAGGAAATGCCTGTAACGTGGGTAGAAGGAAGAGACAGATTAATGTCTGGATTCCCCGTAGTGCAATTTCTTCCGTGTGTGTGGTCGCTCGCAGCCTCTGAGGCTTTTGGAAGAAGTCGAACCCATAGGCAGCAGCTTCAGGTTTCCAGCATTTTAACAGGTAATTTTGTGGCAAGTCTTGGCCTCGTTTCCTGGGGAATTGTAATTGGAAAAGAAACTGAACAAGCGTGGTGTGTGGATCGGTGTACAGTCTGTACGTATCAGTCCAGGAATGATTGCGTAGATCTGTGCATTGGGTAGGTAAGAATTAGTGTTTCTGTTCGGGCAACGTTCACGGCATTTGGGGCTGGCATGTTTCACCTTTCCTGAGAGGTTGAACCCACCGAAATGGGATGCTTACTCGTGAAATAAAGTGGTAAATCTTGGCTGAGTGCAGGGGTGTTGGAGGCATCGGTGTGCTATTAATAAGGCCAGGGTTTTTTTCACATGTTCTGTGCTTCTTTCTCACTCTGCCTGCTCTCCACTTACTCAGGTTGGGGGGGGGGGTGTTATTTTTAAACTGGATATTTTTTCCGTTCTCACAAGCTCTGTGGAAATGGGACTTAACTCTAATAATAGTTGGCTTGAGCAAAACTCCACAGCTATGCTAAGAGCTTTGAGATCATGGCAAAAGGTAGTTTGTTCTGCTCTGCTTTTCCTCTTTTCTCCTGAATAATTCTGTAAATTAGTGTGGGAGCCAAGGTGTGGCTTAGAAATATTTTCAGGCAGCTTTGAGCTTAGGTGATAGCACACCGCTCTGATCTCTTCTTGCATTGGCAGATGGATTTATCAAAGGTCATGCAAGTGCATATCTCAAATCTCCAATTAAAACCTGGTCCTGTTAAGTTCCCAAAGGCTGAGCGGCCGCACCATCTCCTCTCTGTGTGCCAAGGAGCGGTGCTTGGGCTCTGACTCCCATCTGGCTGTCGCTCTGGGGCCCGGAGGGATCAGTGATGTTGCTACATCTGCAAGAAAGTGTCTGTGTGAAATTAATGTTAAAAGTGAGTGGAGCTGGGGAACATACACTGGCCAACCCATAACGTGTGTGTGGCTTTCTCAGGAGGTCTTGGTGTGGGCACAGCTGTGGTGTGTGTTTGGGGGCATCCTACCTTTAAGTGAACACGTAGAGAGGCGTATTGTCCCCTGCTTGGACGAGATCGGCGGCGTGTTTCCACCCGAAATCCTACACAAGCAGCCAAGGCAAGATTATTCCTCTGCCTCCCTCTCTCTCTCCCTCCTCTTT